AGGGAGCTGCCTCCACCCCAGGAGGAATCACCACCCTCGGGAGATATTAAAGTGGTAGGACTACAGGCCTTGGTGATCGATTAAGGGTGTCAGAGAGGCAAAGCCAGAAGGAGGGTCACACACATCAGAACAAAGTCATTGGCCAGTGTCAGGCTCCTATTGGCCAGGCTGCACAGTATATAGTACCCCTCCCCCATTCTCTTTTTCCTCCCTAATCATTTTACCCTTGGTTGTACAGATTTGCATTCTTCCTTTATATGAAATCACTTAGGAGGATATCCAATCTTGCATAGCCTGCCTTGCATAGTCCGGTACATTAATAGTAACTATTATCAGGGCTTCATAGAGAGACACCTTGTGAGAATTATCCCAGTTAGTGCTCAGAGGAGGCTGGACCCCGTTTGCAGTTGAGAAGATGGGACTACGGACAAGGGAAGTAAATTGTCTAGGCCCAGAGGGGAGTGAGCCGGGTGCCGTCTCCAACTTCCACACACTCAACCTGAACAGAACACTGTGTACAGGTTGTGGTCAGGGAGTTTGTGTTCCCTTGATGTTGACAGCCATGGAGACCAGGACCTGGGAGAGACAGCTGGTCATCCAGGGGTCTCCTCCTATGGTAGCTAGTTTCATACAATCAGTCCATCCTGCCACCTTCTCCCACCCTCCCCTGCCTCAGCCCTGAGAGCAGGTGAACAGCCTGAGAGGTCAGGTCGCAGAGAGCCAGGGGTGCCCTCTGTGAGTACACTTTTTCCCTGCCCCCCACCCAAGGCCCAGGTCGAGGAGGGTCCCTGCTGCATCAGAGACAGGAGGGCACGAAATCTGAGCCCCTCGAGGTGGTACTGCTCTGTTGGGAGCCGAGTCCCCTACCGACCTGAGAATCGGGGGATGGAGCAAGGGTAGGTAGCCCTGCCTGCTCTCCCCCAGGAGTCAGGTCACTTGGGGACGTGGCAAGCAACAGTGTCCTTCGTTCTGCTGTGTGTGCAAAATTGGAATCTGTAAACGTGTCCTTGAATTAACATAGCAGAGTACAGCTAGACGAAATATCCCAAGCAGCTATCTCCCTGTGTAGGTCTTAAGGAACTGGCATGTAGCCATCATGCCGAGAGAAGGCCATTTGGAGGAATGCGCAGCTTTAGGGTATAAAAGAGTTTGCGCCTTTAATAAACTTGCTGCTGCAGTGCCATCGAGCATTCCAGCCCTCCTGAACCCCCGCTGTTCCTGTCCTTTTCTTTTTTCTTTTCTTTCTTTTCCTGAGCCACCTAGCCCAATCTTCAGGACCTGTAGTACCGGCTGGTTCTGGTACTGCTCGTAACTCCCTCTCCCTTCTTCTCCTTAGGGACTCAGAGGATGCTCTGAGGTGGAGAACATGTAATGGCACTGATTTGGAACTTGTGTATGATAGTCTCTGTCCCAAGTACCATGGTCTCAGATCTAACCAAAAGACTGAGAGGAAGAAAATAGCTTCTTCCCCAGACTTTCCTTGGTACATGGGGGGGTGGGGTTAGGGGGGAGAGAGAGAGAGGAGGCTCTTGTGCTCCTTCTTCTTATCAGAATATTAATCCCTTCTCAGGGGCTCCACACCAGGAAGGGCCCTGTGAGCCCACAGTTGCCTATATAAGTAGGAATTGTATTGGCTGCAAGTGACAGACCCAAACCACTGGTGACTTAATTAATGTAAGGGTTTATTTCTGCCTCCTGGGGGAGATGGCGTGCAGGGGTCTCCCACCTTCTGCTTTGCTCTCCTGGGGAATGGCTGCTATTCTCAAGATCCACTCATGGTCTCAACATGGTCCCAACCATGGTGTCTGTGCTCAGGGAAGGGGGTGAGAGTAAGAGCTCTGGCAGGTGAGGAGTTTCCTTGTCCCGTCCACCAGCAGTGAGTTTCATATGCCTCGCATGGGTCAACTCTTGTCATAGGGGGGCTGAGGAATATCGCCGTTTAGCTGAGCATATTGCTGCCCCCCAATAAAATGGAGGTGCTATTCCCAGGGAAGATGAGGAAGGATATTGGTCGGGGAAGCAGCAATCTCTGACACTTTCCCCTCTACACCAGATTCTGGCAGGGGCAGCTTGCAGAAGGCTGGTGAATGGCAGGTGATGGAGAAGAGGAGGGGTGGGGGGAATTCCATTGGGGCAGGTTGTGTTTAAGCTGCTGGAGGTCTGTCTGAAGGTGAAGGTTTTTGTGGCAAGCAGAATAATGCCCTCATCCTCCACTCCAAAGATGTCTCCATCCCTAACCCTGAAACGTGTGAATAAGTTGCCTCATGTGGCAAAAAGGAATTTGCAGGTGCGACTAAGTTAAGGGGTGAATTGTGTCCCCTTCCAAATTCACATTGAAGCGCTAAGCCCAGGTACTTCAGAATGTGACTGTATTTGGAGACAGGGCTGGGAGAGAGGTAAGTTAGTTAAAATGAGGTCACTGGTGGGCTCTCATTTACATGCTGGTGTCCTTATAAGAAGAGGGAATTAGGACACAGACGTGTGCAGAGCAAAGGCCAAGTGAAGATGCAGGGAGAAGGTGGCCATCTGCATGCCCTGCCGACATCTTGATCTTAGACTTCTAACCTTCAGAATGTGAGCAAATCAGTATCGGTTGCTGAAGCCCCACCCAGACCGTGACACAATGTTGTGGCAGCCCTGGCCAACTTACACCAGGCTCTTATAGTGGGCAGGTGGGCGTGGGTCATGTAGGTGGCCCAGCAGGACCGCCAGGTCCTCCTAAGGGACAGAGGGAAGCAGGAGAGCCAGAGAAGGAGACACAGTGACAGAAGCAAAAGTCGGACTGATGTGGTTGCTGGCTCAAAAGGTGAGGAGGGGGCCGCACGCCAAGCCCTGTGGCAGCCTGGAAGCTCGAAAAGCAAGGAGCTGATTTCCCCAAGAGCCCCGCCTACATCTTGATTTGAGTGCCTCCTGTGAGATCCACTTTGGACTTCTGACTTTCAGAGTGATAAGGTAAAAAATTGCATACTAAATTTTAAATAAACGTTTGAATTTATTTTTTAACTTGAATGACGACGTTGATGATGATGTTTTTTACAGCAGCCACAGGAAGCTGACACGTTTTCTAACAGGCATCTAGACACTGAGGATCGGCGGGGAGTCATCAGCTCGCAGAATAACCGGAGCCCTGGTCCTGAAGGAGCCATTTGCAGCAGGAGAGCAGGGAGGGGAGAGGGATCTAAGGAAGGACCTGCGGGGAGACACATCCAGGAAAGGACAGACCACACTGCTGCTTCTCGATGGCAGGGTCTCCAGACAGACGTGTGCCAGGGGCTGGGTGGCCGGTGTGGCCCCTGGAGAGGTGTGCAATCTGCGTAGATGGAAACCTCAGACAGGAGCTGGCCGCTCCCTGTGAGAGCTGAGGGCACAGGCTGAGGGTCCCCATGGGGCAGGAGGTAGGACCTGGCTATTTGACGACCTGGTGTAGCAGGGTCTAGGAGGCCAGGGCCAAGGCTTATCAGTGACCCCTCTCTCTTCTTGAATGGGGCAGGGAGGATCTTTTGAAAAAAATGGGAACAGGACCCATGGCCCACAGCACCTCTCCCTGCAGGAAGACTTGGAGTCTAGCAGCTCCAAGCCCTTGAGAAATAATACTCGATCTTGACCGCTGTCTGGTTCTGGGTACTCCCACGGGAAGTGACCTTGAACTTCTGAGGGGTTATGAAGTTGGCCTACAATGTGATGGAAAGGCACAGTAGCTAGGGCCAGGCAGTTCCAAAGCCTCCTGCTGGTCACCAGAAGAGTCTGGGCTGTGGGACAAGAGCTGGACCAAGGTCCCCTGCTCTGACAGTATCACTTATGCTGGTGGTTAGACCTCCATTCCTGCCTTTGGCCATTCACGTAGCAGAAAACCAGGAGTTCCAGGGATGACAACATGGGACCTCAGAGCAGCTTTGGGCCTAAATCTCTGATGGGTGGCTTATGGGCTGTGAGACCTGAGACAAGCTCCTTAGTTTTCTAAGCCGTGGTTGTTTCTCTGTAAAATGTGCTTAAAAGGACTGGATGTGGGGGGAAGTGAAACCTGTGCAAATGCCCCCAGCTGGGTGCTGGCCCCTCAGAATGCTGGGTCTGCCTGGCTGCTGCCTCCTGTGTCCCCCTGGCTCCTGGCCCCTTTCCCATGGTGTTCTGGGCCCCCGATTGCTTCATCCTCCCAGCCTGTCCCCCAACCCCAGCTCCATTCTTACTCCTTCTGCCCTGCCATGACCCTGGCGCTTCTGCTTCCCCTCAGAGGCCTTTGGAGGCTGACTGGGTGGGGCTGTGGGTGTGGCCTGTGGGGCCAGGCTGCCTGGATTCAGTCCTGGCTGAGTGTTGTCCTAGCTCGGGGTCCCTGTGCCTCACTTACTCACCGGTTAAGGGTGGTGATAGCAGTAGTACCCAGGCCCGGGCATTTGGAAAGGATTAAGTGAGTCCATAGTAGGAGTGTCGAACTCAATCAGAGAAGGGGCCAAAATCTAAAATCCAGCCTAAATCGCGGGCCGAATGGTTTACTGAACAGTCATAAACTGTCATTGTGATGGAAACGCAGTGGAGTGCAGTGATGACAGCGCGGTGCAGGCCACATTGCAAGGCCTGGCGGGACGGATTTGGCCCGCGGGCCTTGTGTTTGACACATGTGGTCCATAGAGTGCTCAGAGCAGCCCCTCACATGCGGTCAACACCCTCGGAATGTGTATTCTTTCCAGCTGGGCCCCTCCTCTGTTTTTTTGACTCCACTGCAGAATGTCTGCCAGGTGCCTCTAACCTCTCTCCTCCTGCCCCTTCTCACAGCCCCCACACCGCCTTCCCCACTACTCCTTTTCTGTCCCCTTCCCCACTCAGAGGTGTCACCCAGCAGCCATGCTCAGGCAGCTCCCTGGCCCACAATTAAGGGGTTCGGGGGTTAGTTTTGCAGGGGCCTCTGTTGGTGGAGGGTGGAGATAGTGACAATGGGTGGGGCGTCACGACGGATGGTGCTGCAGGAGTGGAAGCAGGAATAACACACTGCTCGCTCGCCGGTGCACACCTAGCACCACCCTCTTGCTTTCCCTTAGAGGACAGAGCAAGCTGGGACAAGCAGAAAGTCAAGGACACAGGAATCTGGTGGGAGCCCTGTGAAGAGAGTCAGGATGCAGACCTAGTGGGGTGGAGAGGCTGGGCCGGGAGAAAGGAGGGCTTAGGAGGAAGAAGGAGGCTATGGAGGGCCCGGGACTTGAACTGCTAGTTCAAGTGCCAGTTCCTGGGGACAGTGACAGGCTGGCCTGGGTGCTGCCTTCTCCCCTTCCTTCTCCCTACCCCCCAGCCCTGCACCACTGACTCATTCGGAAGCTGCCTTTTCTGCATCTATTGTGGCCTCCCTCCTGGATGGATGTGATGGAGAGTGGGGTCGTCAGCTCCTGTGAGGCCCTGAGGAACCATGCCTGAGACCCACCCCACCCCCTTTCTCCTGGGTGGCTCCCGAATGGGGGAGTAGACATGTGGTGATGAGAGGGGCAGCTTAGAGGAATGAATGAGTGGATCCAGTCCTGGGAATTCTGGTGGAGCAGAATGAAACAGCAGACACCGTTCAATAGAAGAAGTACAATAGAATTCACTGGTAAGCAGCAAGTTGAATACAATTCAACATGACATCAATTCCTTAGGCCTCAGGTTCAATTGCACTCTCCGGAGAGAATAGTGATGGGGGATAATGCAATCCAGCTGGCTGAGCAGGGATGCTGGCCCTTCCCTGACCCTCAGGCGCGAACGCAGTCATGTGGTGGAGCTTTTGTCAGAGGCGCGGCATCCTACCTGGGCTGCATCCACAGGCCAGGCACACCCACACCTCAGGTTTCCAAGGGGTGAGGCTTTGGCAAAACCCTTTAGTGCGACGCTGGCGTGCTCCTAGGCCCACAATCACATAGGAGTCCTCAAGGGGGTTGCATGAAGCTTGGGGAGCTCTCCTCAGAGCTTTCCTAAATTTCCTGTCTGAAAACTAGCTTGAGGAGCAGGGAATGTGGACAAGTATCACTGCAGCCTGCAAGGGGAATCCAGAGCTTGGACACTTTCTAGAGTCCTGGATGCCCCCAAACTTCCTTCCACTAAGACAGGGTGGTAGTGACATCCACCTGGGGCCCCTCCCACAGCTCTGCCCAGACAACCAGCTTTCGGGCAGATGAATCAAGACACAGGGCATGTGGATTTCCATTGCGCTAACTGGGAGACCACACCATTTTGCTCTCCTGGGAGGAAGCATCAAGGTATGTAGGAATGACATCACAGGGCCAATATGAAACCTGCCTTCACGTCAGAGAAAGGAAATGATCTGCAAGCCGGTCACTGGGGGCACCGGAGCTACAGTTAGTGACATAGCACTTGCAACACCCCAGGGTTGATCCTTGACCCCACTGTGTGCAGGGGTGACTCGGCCACACCTATTGAACATGACCATTCTGGGTGAAGTTCAAAGGCCACCAGCTCCCTGAACTCTGGCTCCTTAGGGAGGAAGGGTTTGGGATGCCCTCATGTCACAGGTACCTGCCTTTAAGGAATTTCCCATGATGCCGAGGGAACCAGATGGAGATCCCTGGAGGGCTGTTGAGAAAAAGGTTGCCATGGTGACCAGAAGACTAAGGAGTGAAGGGAGTCAGCTCAAGCCAGGGGTGTGTGCAGGGCAGGACACATCTCTCCCCCAGCTCCTTATCAGACGCTTTCCACTGGCCCGGGCCTGACTTAGGGTGGCGTCTTGGCAACCTGTCTCAGGTACCCTTCCTTGTCTGTCACCCTCCTCATCTGTCTCTGGCCTTGGGAGCACCTTCCACATGGGTGCTCTCTGTTTGGCAGGCCCTCAGGAAACCCCCTTCCAGTCTCCCACACACCCCGGAGGCCCTTGGTGCAGCCCAGGAAATGCTGTCCTGAGGCCCTTGGAGGAGAAGCAGCCACAAGAGAGGGTGAAGTATAACATTTGGGAGGTTAGAAGAGTTTCTATGCAGTTTCCTAAGTGTTCTCTCCCTATCCGGCTTGCACAGACAGTTCCTGCTGCCCCAGATGCCTCTCCTTCCTCCTCTTTGCTAGCTCTCATTTTCCTTTTGTTCCCAGATTGAGTGATGGGGACTCCCGTGACTTCTATGTCCTCTCTCAAGTCCTGCTGCCACACCCAGCCACCTTTTCCCATCAAGTACACTGCCCAGTGCCTTCTGGCCGGGCTGTATCTCGCATTTTGGGAAGAAGACGAGAGCAGGAACGTGTCTGTCTGCTTCCAGCCCAGGGGTTGGCCCATAATATATGTTTGTTTGGTGGGTGGGGGCAGGGAGACAGATTTTTGAAACTGAATTCCACCTATGGAAACCTACAAGCCATTCAAATGTGGAATTCTGTCCTCTCAGTTTTGATTCTAAATGGCGGTGAAGGAGAGAGCAATCTTATAGAATCCCTCTGAAGCTCATCGTTGCTATTCTAGAATCAAGGGTAGGGACAAAGAGGATGTTAGGGCCACATGCACTTGTCCTTGACTACTCTCCTCAGAAGGGGAGAGTAGTCAAGGAGAAGGAGTTAGAAGACCAAGGAGAAACTGTGACACCCCTAGCACATCCCACCGACTCTGTAAATACTACGTAACTGAGACATGACTTCCTTGGCTGCCTGACCCAGCTTGTCCAGGGGGGTCGTGGCTTCCCCAGCCCCTTTTCTGTTCACTCTTTGGAATGTTTGATACTTGTGACTTGTCTGGTCTCTTGAAATGCAAGTCAATATCTCACCCACGAGCCGGACTGGCAAACCCAGGGGTCAGAAGTCAGCCCTCCCTCCCCTCTCTGAAGGACCACTGTTGGTCAGTTTCATTCTAGAAGGATAGAGATGTGAATCTCGTTCAGGCACTCAGCTATGTAAACATGAGGCTGTCCGTGGGGCATAGCCTACCCCAAGGAATTTCCCAACATGCATAGCACTTGGCAGAGAGAGTTAGCTGAGTGACTCCTGAATGACTGAAGGCATGACAGGGAATGAGAGCCATGAAAGGGGATGGCTGCGGGCAGGATCAAGGGGAGTGTCGGTGATAAGACACTAAATGAGATGCATCCAGCAATGCTCCCCAACTTCACGGAGCACGGAGTCCTGAGCTCTCTCTTTCCCACAGATCCCGGAAGTGGGCTTGCCCGGATCGCTTTTATGGCAAACCCCGCCACCAAGGCGATGGGATGTTGGATGTTGGTCACCAGCTCTCCTTCTCCTGGTTGAGATGCAGGGCGAGGGGAGGCCAGCAGGGGAGGCCACCCATCAGCGATTTAAGAAGAAGGACATGATGCTCTGGAAGAACATGGACTTCTGCCTCTGCTTCTGTTTCTTCTTGATGATGGGCACCCACACCAGCCCGCACACCATCATCATGAGTCCCAGGGACAGGAATGCAGGCCCCGTCATCTTAAGGACCTTCAGGCTTGTCTGCCCCAGATGCAGGGTGTAGGCAAGGCAGGTGATGGCCACGCCGAAGAGGAGGATGGCCCCGCCCACGGACATGATGATGATGGGCTTGCGGTAGATTTCCCAGTTACTCCTGGGGGCTTCGGTCCAGACAGACTCGCTTCGGGAGCTGATGCACAGGGAGCTGGCGGTCTGGCTGGGCAGCAGGTCCCTGGACTCAGGAGACTTCTCGTCGACTTCCAGGGCTTTGGGGAGAGTCTCCATCGTCACAGCTCCTCAGGGCCTGGCATGTGGGACCTGCAGCAGTTAGAAGCAAAGGCAAAGCCAAAGGGCTCCTCACACACCTTCCTGCGCTCAGCATCCGCCTCCAGCTCGGCCTGGGTGGAGGGTCAGGCAGAGCTTTTGTGCTGAAGCCAAAGGAAAATCAAATTTTCTCCACATAAAAGAGAAACCACTCAAGCTGGTGTGGGTTCTTCTTGTAAGAGATAAAAAATATGACATCATCTAGTCAAGTTTTTAGTGTTCCAAACTGGGAACAGCAGTGCCCATTAAACAAACAAAATCCACCCTTTACAGATTGGCATCTGACTTTCAGACTCCTTAGCTTTCTAGCTCTGGAATCTTGAGTGTGTTACTTAATGTCTCTGTAACTCAGTTTTCTTATCTATAAAATGGGATAATGCTACCACTTGAAGGGTTTTCAAAAGGGCTCAATGAATTCAGACATGCAATGCATTGGAACAATGTCTTGCGTATCGCAAGCACTCCATAAAGGGTATCGTTTGGCCATTAGAGTAGTGATACTTAATACGTAACTGTGTGCGTGTGCACGCGCAGGTGTAGTGTCTGCTGGAGCTAGACACTGCACTAAACACTTTCATCAAACCGGAACCTCCCAATACCCCTGTGAGGTGAGCATCCTGTTTTACAGATGAGAAAGCCAAGGCTCAGAGAGGTGAGGCAAATTACCACAAGGCTGGATTAAACCAGTCTGCCCTTCTCTTACACCACAGGCCACGAATGGGCTGGGGCCCATCTTTTAGTGCAGCCTGGGCTTTTATGTGCTTTGTCAGCACAGGACAGTGAGGCCTCAGGTTGGGTGTGACCTTTAATATCTAAATGACCGCTTTTCCCACCGCCCCCGTGAGTCATATCAGATTCCCACCTTCCTGTTTTTAGGCCCATAAGGGTCTAGATTGAGCCAACTGCCTATTCCAATTTCTCACTTAGAGCCCATCGGTGTACCTCGCACTCACCAGAGCTCTCTCGTCCCCCAGTCCCATGGGGAGGCAGGTGGTCACTGAACAGAGCAATGCCAGCTGCTGAGAGGCAATACTCACCTTCCAAATCCTCCCCCAGAGCCACTCTGGCTGCAAATACCTCTATGTTTGCAAGTCAATAGAGATGATTTTAGACACTCTCCCGGTATTAGATACTCTCTGTGGGGGAGGAAAGAGGCCAGCAGAGTCCAGGCACCCGAGGTCATCGCCTAGTGATCATCCTCACTCCTCTTTGCATTATCTCCAGAGGATCCCAGACAGCGCTGTGCCCTTAGACATGTGGTCGGCAAACTGCTGCTTTTGAGCCACACAAGCGGCTCTTTGGCTCTTGAGTGTGGCTCTTCCACAAAATACCATGGCCTGGGCGAGTCTATTTTGAAGAAGTGGCATTAGAAGAAGTTTAAGTTTTAAAAATTTGGCTCTCAAAAGAAATTTCAACTATTGTACTGTTGATATTTGGCTCTGTTGACTAATGTGTTTGCTGACCACTGAACTAGGCTAAGCAGTCATTTTAAAGTGAGCTCTTCCCCCGTGGGCTGGAGGCAGAAAAGGGGTCACAGGCTATGAGGACATATTAGCCGGGAACCCTGTGTTGGTCACTGCCATCTGGTTCCTTAGCTGGGCAGTCTGACACCTTCACGGGGGTTTTCTCTGGATCGCCATTTCCACCATTTCCCGGGGAAGGCCCAGGACAGAAGGGCTTGCTGCTCAGACGCTGCAGAGGTTCTAGTGGGGAATCTGGCTGTTCTCCGCCATAGGAGAGCGGGGCTGAGGGAGGAAGGACTGCTTCCCTGAGCTACCCTCAGGGTGTGAGGTGGCCACTGCATCATGAACAGGAAGTGGGCAATTGGAGGTGAGACCCCTGCCAGGGACAGCGGGTTCCTGGTCTCTGAGGGAGGTAGAGGGACTGCCTGGCCTTGCTGGAAGCACCTCACACACTCTCTTTATCCCTGAGAGGAGCTCATTAATGTATTCCCAGTTTATAACAGCAGAGACTGAGGCCCAGAGAGGTTCAGGGGCCAGGCCGAAGCCGCCCACTTTCTCTGGGGCTGTGCTGGGACTCCAGCCATAGTCTTTGGACTCAGCACTCCTTGCACAGAGCATGCTGGTCTGGATGAGTTGGGAGGGTCCTTCAATGCTGATAATGTCTGAGTTTTTCACTTTGGGGCTTCTTTCTACAGTAAACTACTTCTTCCTGAAGATGAGTGCCGTAGGTAAGTATTCAATAATTGAATACAGACCCAGCATACAGCAGGGAAATATGGTCACTGTTGTTTTTCATAATGTTGCATTCATTTAATTTAAAGGACTATTTTTACTCAGAGATTCTGTTCTTCCTTCCTTGTTGGGCATTGTTTCATTTTATGAAATGATCATGATGAAAAATGATCATTGATTTTGTTAGTATCTGTATTTGCCAGGGTAGAAGGTTGGTTAGCCTGTGCAGATGTCTGTCAATCTATTATCTCTATCATCTATCTATCATCTATCTATCTATCTATCTATCTATCATCTATCATCTATCATCTATCATCTATCTACATTTATTTAGCTATCATCTATCATCTAAATTCTAATGGCCCATGAACCCCCAAAATAGGAACCTTTAACTTAGTTTACTTACTGCCCTGGCCAGGTGGCTCAGTTGGTTGATATGTCCTCCTGTATACCAAAAGATTGGGAGTTCAATTCCCAATCAGGATACAAATATAGGTTGTGTGTTTGACCCCAGGGCATGTATGGGAGGCAGTCCAGTGATGTTTCTCTCTCTCTCTCTTTCCCCTTTCTCTGTCTCTTAAAAGAAAAAAAAATCAATGAAAAATATGGGGTGTCAGGTGAGGATTGAAAATAAACCTAGAGGACTCACTCAGGAAGAGGGGAGCCTGTGGATAGTGAAGGGCAGGCAGGGTGCGGCTGTGGGATGAACACTGTACTAAGAAGAATCACTCCTTCGCAGCCCCAGCAAGCACTTAACTTACTTGCAGGGTCCGCATGTGACAGAAAGATCTGGAAAGACTGCGTTTGCACCCAGTTTGCCTTCTTGAGCTCTGGGACTTTGGGCAGGTTACTTACCACCCCGAGGCTTACAAGTGCCATGCATGAGATACAGATAACAGAGTATCTGTCTCCCAGGGGTGGAGTGACTATCAACTCACAAAACCTGCTGTGTGTGACATATCCCAGCGTCTAAAAAGAAGGCCCTATTGCTAATAAGAGCATTGTCCTTCGTGGTCCCTGTTTCCTCATTGGTCTCAAGAAGAGGTTGGGCTGAGAGACTTCTAAAGCTGTTTTTGATAGGCCCAAGGGTGGTGAATCACACGCGAATTCTGAGAATGCAGGCTCCCTGGAAATCACTCCCTGGGGGCAGTAAGTGCCTTATAACTTTTTATTAAAATCCTAAAAGATTCTATATTTTTTTTTCTGATGCCAGGGATTCTCAACAGTGATACTATTGATGTTTGGGCCCAATAACTCCTTGTGGTGGGGGCTGTCCTGTGCATTGTAGGGTAGTTAGTAACATTCTGCCCTCTACCCACCTTTCAGTAGCGGTTCTCCCTTCAGTCATGATAATGGAAAACATCCCCAGGGACTGCCAAGTGCCACTGGGGGGCAAAACCAAGCTGGTGAAGAACCAGTGCCACAGGTTGGCCTTCCCTCCCTCCCAGCATCATTGCTTGCAAACTGCCTCAGGACCAAGGCTGAGTTTACTCACCCTCTGCCCAACAGTGTTCCACGGAGCACAGCCTGGCACTCAGCAGGTGCTAGAGGATTTGGCCTTGACACTGTTGCTCTGTGAGGGACCTGGTCCTCTGGGAAGAACCACGCTTTCAGGTTTGGATTAAGTTTTGAGGCCTTGGGTTGAATGAGTTCCTAACCACCTGCAGTGCGCTCAACTGTCCACCCAGAACCTCAGCATGTGACTCTACTTTGGAATAAGGGTCTCTGCAGGTGTCATTAAGGTAAGGATCTCCAGGTGAGAGACAGTGGAAAGCCAGAGACGCGGATCTCCTGGACCAACCACAGATTTGAATGTTGGCTCAGCCCTTGGGCATCCATTTACAAAGGGAGAATAGGTCCTACTCCCCTGGAGGCCACATTTGGAGGGTCAGATCAGTGGGTGGGACTTATTTGTCACACACAGCCAGGAAAGGGCACCTGCAGTGGGTGGGCTGGTCTGGGACTATGCAGCCATAGGGAGGAAAGAATGAGAGTCTCCTACAGAAACCATGCAGGGATCTCCACACAGGAGGCTGACCAAGACAAGCCAGACACATTTTCATTTACATAAAATGAGATTTCATTTACATAAATTTGAAAAAGCTATAAGACAGTTGATGCTATTGGAGGTTAGGATCATCGTTATCCTTGGTGGGTGGGGCAGTTCTGAAAGCAGGGGTGCTCAGAGACTTTTGAGGTGCAGGTCTGACTATTGATCTGATAGTAGCTGGTGACATGGGTGTGTTCTATTTGAGCTGCAGATTTTTAATTGACTGCTTTCTTCTCTGTATGTTAAACATCAATAAAATGTTTAAACAAAGATAATTAAAAGATATGACTTAATGCAACATGTCCCTTTCTTTAGATTCTGACTAAAACAAGCCAATGGTACAAAGACATTTTGGGATATTTTTAGGGACGTTTGAATATGGATTGGGTATTGGATGACATTAAGGATTTAAAAATTGTATTAAGTATGATAATGATATTTGGACACATAAGAAAACATCTTTATAAATATTGAGATGCATCTTGAAACAACATATAGGGATGACATATTGTGATGCTATGATATACATGAAAATACCAAACTTTAAATTAAATATGACAAAATAAAATTATTAAATCTAGATGATATATGTATGGAAGTTCACTATATTACTACTCTACTTTTATGTCCATTTGTAAATGTTTATAATAAATTAGGGGCTGAATATACAAATAGATGATGGTCAAATTATATATATAAAAATAGGGCTCTGACCCACAATTTGCAGCAACCAGTCCAGGAAACCAACTCCTACTCTACAGACACCAGAGCAGGAAGCCAGCCTCTGTCTGTAGTCAGACCTGTAGGAAGCCAGGCTGCTGTCCATAGTCAGGCCTGTAGGAAGCCAGGCTGCTGTCTA